AAAGTACAAAATGGCACAACATTTGTTTTGTTGCCGCAACTCTTGTCTACTCTTGTCACTCTCGATCTACATCTCTCTGTCTCCCGCGCTCTTCATGGGGCAGAGAGCACACGTCAAAGTATAGTTTTGTTAAAACGTGTATTTGTGGAGTTTTTGTGTTTATTTTTGAATTTTTTTGGCAATGTCAAATATCGAAAACATAAACAGACAAAAACAATAAACATAAACAGCGATTTTGTGACAGTCTCTTTAAATTCTTCTCGCATTTGACAAATTATTTTTTTTTCAATTATAGTTTTTATTTATCTTGTGTTGGAAACGTAACAATACATTTTGGCTCACGTAAACACGTTTGGGCGCTGTCATAACTGACCTTAGAAAATATTCGAATAATAGCGGGAAGTGGGTGGTAATTAAAAAGAAATACAAATAATAAATAAAAGAAAGAACTGTTATCGGTAGGATTTTTCTATAGGACAATTTTATGGGTAAAATTTTTGTTTAAAAAAATTGTTATCGGTACGATTTTTCCATAGAAAAATTGTTATCGGTACGATTTTTCTATAGAAAAATTGTTATCGGTACGATTTTTCTATAGAAAAATTGTTATCGGTACGATTTTTCTATAGAAAAATTGTTATCGGTACGATTTTTCTTCAGAAAAATTGATATCGGTACGATTTTTCTATAGAAAAATTGATATCGGTACGATTTTTCTAAAGAAAAATTGTTATCGGTTCGATTTTTCCTATAGAAAAACTGTTATCGGTAAGATTTTTCTATAGAAAAACTGTTATCGGTAAGATTTTTCTATAGAAAAACTGTTATCGGTAAGATTTTTCTATAGAAAAACTGTTATCGATACGATTTTTCTATAGAAAAACTGTTATCGATACGATTTTTCTATAGAAAAATTGTTATCGGTAACATTTTTCTATAGAAAAATTGTTATCGGTAACATTTTTCTATAGAAAAATTGTTATCGGTAACATTTTTCCATAGAAAAATTGTTATCGGTACGATTTTTCCACTGAAAAATTGTTATCGGTACGATTTTTCCATAGAAAAATTGTTATCGGTACGATTTTTCCATAGAAAAATTGTTATCGGTACGATTTTTCCATAGAAAAATTGTTATCGGTACGATTTTTCCATAGAAAAATTGTTATCGGTACGATTTTTCCATAGAAAAATTGTTATCAGTACGATTTTTCCATAGAAAAATTGTTATCGGTACGATTTTTCCATAGAAAAATTGTTATCGGTACGATTTTTCCATAGAAAAATTGCTATCGGTAACATTTTTCCATAGGAAAATTGTTATCGGTAACATTTTTCCATAGGAAAATTGTTATCGGTAACATTTTTCCATAGGAAAATTGTTATCGGTAACATTTTTCCATAGGAAAATTGTTATCAGTAAAATTTTTCCATAGGAAAATTGTTATCGGTAACATTTTTCCATAGGAAAATTTTTATCGGTAACATTTTTCCATAGGAAAATTGTTATAGGTAATATTTTTCCATAGGAAAATTGTTATCGGTAACATTTTTCCATAGGAAAATTGTTATCGGTAACATTTCGGTAAGATTTTTCTATAGAAAAACTGTTATCGGTAAGATTTTTCTATAGAAAAATTGTTATCGGATTGTTATCGGTACGATTTTTCTATAGAAAAATTGTTATCTGAAAAATTGTCGTACCGATAAAAATTTTTCTATAGGAAAAATGTTACAGATAACAATTTTTCTATAGGAAAAATGCTACAGATAACAATTTTTCTATGGAAAAATCGTACCGATAAAAATTTTTCTATGGAAAAATCGTACCGATAACAATTTTTCTATAGAAAAATCGTACCGATAACAATTTTTCTATAGAAAAATCGTACCGATAACAATTTTTCTATAGAAAAATCGTACCGATAACAAATTTTCTATAGAAAAATCGTACCGATAGAAAAAACTGTTATCGGTAAGATTTTTCTATAGAAAAACTGTTATCGGTAAGATTTTTCTATAGAAAAATTGTTATCGGATTGTTATCGGTACGATTTTTCTATAGAAAAATTGTTATCTGAAAAATTGTTATCTATAGAAAAATTGTTATCGGTACGATTTTTCTATAGAAAAATTGTTATCGGTACGATTTTTCTATAGAAAAATTTTTATCGGTACGATTTTTCTATAGAAAAATTGTTATCGGTACGATTTTTCTATAGAAAATTTGTTGTCGTTACGATTTTTCTATAGAAAATTTGTTGTCGTTACGATTTTTCTATAGAAAATTTGTTGTCGTTACGATTTTTCTATAGAAAAATTGTTATCGGTACGATTTTTCCATAGAAAAATTGTTATCGGTACGATTTTTTATAGAAAAATTGTTATCTGTAACATTTTTCCTATAGAAAAATTGTTATCTGTAACTTTTTTCCTATAGAAAAATTGTTATCTGTAACATTTTTCCTATTTTCTATATTTTTTATACCCTCAGCCATATGGCTACAGAGGGTATATATCATTTGATACGGCCAAAACGTGCCTAGTCGAAATAACGGTTTTAGACCCTAGGTCTCTTTGGACCAAATCCGTTTCAGAACATTTCGAGTCGATCTAGCGATGTCCGTCCGTCCGTCCGTCCGTCCGTCTGTCTGTCTGTCTGTCTGTCTGGCTGGCTGGTGCGCACGATAACTCTCGAAGGGAGTATCCAATTTGGTCCAAACTTGGTACATCGTAATATTTTTGTCAAACTTAGATCGAGTTCGGAGATGGGCAATATCGGTCCACTCCTTCTGGTACCTCCCCCACAAAAGTTCGAAATTTTCAAAAAATTTAATTTTTGCACAGAAAGAGAAATTATAGTCCAATTTTGCTCCAACTTTGCAAATCTTAATATTTGAGTCAGTGTGAGGTCGGGTGTGAAAATGGAAAATATCGGCCCACTCCATCAAGTACCTCCCCCACAAATGGTAAAAATTTTGAATAATTACAACTCTCATAAAATGTGATGTAAGTGTCCGATTGTCTTAAAATTTTACACATCCCAATATTTATATTAACCCAAGGTCTGGTGTTAAGATGGAATATATCGGTCCACTCTTTCTGGTACCTCCCCCACAAAAGGTCGAAATTTTCAAACAAAAAAAAAATATATTTTTTTTTGCACAGAAAGAGAAAGAATAATTCGATTATTCTGCTACCTTGCAAATCCTAATATTTGCATCATTGCTAGGTCTGGTGCGAAAATGGAGAATATCGGTCCACTCCTTCTGGTACCTCCCCCACAAAGGGTCAAAACTTTAAATAATCACAACTCTCATAAAATGTGATGTAAGAGTCTGATTGTCTTGAAATTTCACACATCCCAATATTTATATTAACCCAAGGTCTGGTGTTAAGATGGAATATACCGGTCCACTCCTTCTGGTACCTCCCCCACAAAAGGTCGAAATTTGCAAAAAAATATATTTTTTGCACAAAAAGAGAAAGGATAATCCGATTTTGCTCTCACTTTGCAAATCCTAATATTTGCATCATTGCTAGGTCTGGTGCGAAAATGGAGAATATCGGTCCACTCCTTCTGGTACCTCCCCCACAAAGGGTCAAAACTTTAAATAATCACAACTCTCATAAAATGTGATGTAAGAGTCTGATTGTCTTGAAATTTCACACATCCCAATATTTATATTAACCCAAGATCTGATGTTAAGATGGAATATACCGGTCCACTCCTTCTGGTACCTCCCCCACAAAAGGTCGAAATTTGCAAAAAAAATATATTTTTTGCACAAAAAGAGAAAGGATAATCCGATTTTGCTCTCACTTTGCAAATCCTAATATTTGCATCAGTTCTACGTTAGGTGTAAAAATGGACAATATCGGTTCACTCCTTCAAGTACCTCCCCCACAAATGGTCAAAATTTTGAATAATTACAACTCTCATAAAATGTGATATATGAGTCCGATTGTCTTCGAATGGCGCACATCCCAATATTTATATTAACCCAAGCTCTGGCGTTAAGATGAAGTATATCGGTCCACATCTTATGGTACCTCCCCCACAAATGGTCGAAAATTTGAGATATATATTTTCTGCACAGAAAGGAAGCAATAATCTAATTTTGAAAAACATGAGGCTCAAAGAAAGCGAAATAAGGATTAAACTCTTTTCAAATTTCACACATACAAATTATTTTTGCTAACACCAGATCTGTTTTGAAGATGATCCTATATATCTGCGAACAACTTCTGGCACCTCACCCACAAAGAGACACATTTTTCAATATTTTTATCTGTCATAAATTGCGAAACAACTCAGTGATTCTTTACAATTCCTATATCCATCTGCTAGAATAATATTTATATCATATTTATGTAGGTCCGATACGAAATTGACAATATTGACCCATTCTTTAAAAACCCACTCCATAGAGGGTGAAGAGAGCTGAGGGTATACATCTGTCGGCAAAGCCGACCGATACTTTTTTACTTGTTCTATAGAAAAATTGCTATCGGTACGATTTTTCTATAGAAAATTTGTTATCGGTACGATTTTTCTATAGAAAAATTGTTATCGGTACGATTTTTCTATAGAAAAATTGTTATCGGTACGATTTTTCTATAGAAAAATTGTTATCGGTACGATTTTTCTATAGAAAATTTGTTGTCGTTACGATTTTTCTATAGAAAATTTGTTGTCGTTACGATTTTTCTATAGAAAAATTGTTATCGGTACGATTTTTCCATAGAAAAATTTTTATCGGTACGATTTTTCTATAGAAAAATTGTTATCGGTACGATTTTTCTATAGAAAAATTGTTATCGGTAACATTTTCCTATAGCAAATGTATTATCAATAACATTTTTCCATCGATTTTTATTATTATCGATAACTTTTTTCGATCGATTTTTGTAATACCTGTGTTAATTTTTAAAACCTTGCAAACACACTATTTCAAAATTATAATTGCCTGCACTACATACGTTTTTCATTAACCTACCTCTTCAATGCAGGTCTGCAAACATGAATGGGTTACATTGCCCAACAGCCTCACCGTGCTGGCATCGTATTCATGCGCCGAGGCATCGTGGAGAAGTGTTGCATTTGTTAAATGGGTAAATAATTGGTTAATGGGCGACAGGTCATTATCGGCGGCGGCCGCGGCGGCAATGTCATTATGGGCATTGCCATCGTTATCTCCGGCAGCAGTGACGGCATTCCCAGACTGCATGGCAGTATTAACATTTGAAGTGTCATCATTATTGTTGTTGTTGTTATCATTTGAGCTGTCATTTGCAACAGCGAGAGCTTTGATGATAGTTGTTGGTGTTATTGGTGTCGTGGATGAGAGTCCGGTTGTTTTGGCCGCCACCGCCAATTCTGGCTGGAGATTATCTTTATCTAGTGTGTGATTTAATGATTGTGTCGCTGCTGTTGTTGCTGTTGTTGTGGCACACAACAAACATTGTAGCAAAATTAATAAATGAATTAAAATGATTTTCATAAATAACGGCATTGTGGCCGCTGCCGCTTCACCGCCATATTTTGATGGCTTTCCCGATGCTGCTGACACTGATAATTTTATGGTTGATTTGTAATTTGACATTTTCTGAATTGACATTTTGACATGTCTAAAGGCCATTGACATTTATGAGATTTAGTGATGATCCCTTTTGTTTTTTGGTTGGTTGTTGTCGTTTTTTTTTTAATAATTTTTTTCTTTAAATTTATTTTTATAACATTTCACTGCAGCGCTTCTAAATGCGGACCAAACGAAAATAAAATTGAATTCGAACATTCACTTTTAACAAAATTTTGTTTTTCTCAAAATTTATTCAAAATAATTTCCAACACTTGTCGATTTTAGTTTCAATATTTACGCGACCACTTGTTTTCGTTTCGTTATTTTTTTTGCGCCACTGAATTGTTGCCTTGCTTTAATTTATTAGTTGTTGTTGGTGTTGTTCTTATTGAATTGTTTTAAAAATGGCTTGAAATTGAAGCACGTGACAAAACCGGTATTGCAAGCGCTGCTGAGTTTATTTCAAGTCATTCTTCGATTGATTCAAAGGTTTGTCTTCCAAGCTGTAACAGAAAAAAAAACAGTTCTGTAGAGAAAAGTTGTCGATAACAACATTTCTACATTGAAAAGTTAACGATTTATTCAATGATAACCAATTATCGCTCAGAGTTATAAGTTATCGAAAAGTTTTATATAAAGACAAGTTTCGATAACAAATTTTCTATACAGAAAAGTGATCGATAACAACTTTTCCATGTAAAAAAATTATCGGTAACAACTTTTTATACAGAAAAGTTATCGATACAAATTGATCTATAAAGAAAAGTTTTTCTATATATAGAAAAGTTATCGATAACAACTTATCTGTAAAGAAAAGTTAACGATAACAACTTTTCTTTACCGAAAACTAATCGATAACAACTTTTCTATATAGAAAAGTTATCGATAACAACTTTTCTATATAGAAAACTTATCGATAACAACTTTTCTATATAGAAAACTTATCGATAACAACTTTTCTAGATAGAAAAGTTATCGATAACAACTTTTCTAGATAGAAAAGTTATCGATAACAACTTTTCTATATAGAAAAGTCATCGATAACAACTTTTCTTTCTTGTCTAATCGATAACAACCTTTTCTATATAGAAAACTTATCGATAACAACTTTTCTATATAGAAAACTTATGCGATAACAACTTTTCTAGATAGAAAAGTTATCGATAACAACTTTTCTAGATAGAAAAGTTATCGATAACAACTTTTCTATATAGAAAAGTCATCGATAACAACTTTTCTTTATAGAAAACTAATCGATAACAACTTTTCTATATAGAAAAGTTATCGATAACAACTTTTCTATATGGAAAATTTATCGATAACAACTTTTCTATATAGAAAAGTTATCGATAACAACTTTTCTATATAGAAAAGTTATCGATAACAAATTTTCTAAATTGAAAAGTTGTCGATAACAAATTTTCTAAATTGAAAAGTTGTCGATAACAAATTTTCTAAATTGAAAAGTTATCGATAACAATTTTTCTATATAGAAAAGCTATCGATAACAAATTTTCTATATTGAAAACTATCGATAACAACTTCCCTATATAGAAAAATAATCGATAACAACTTATTTACATTGAAAAGTTATCGATAACAAATTTTCTGTGTAGCAAAGTAATCGATAACAAACTTTCAATATAGAAAAAATAAAGATAACAGTTTATCTATGTAAAGAATTATCGATAACAACTTTTCTATATGGAAAAGTTATCGATAACAAATTTTTCTATATAGAAAACTTATCGATAATAACTTTTCTATATAGGACATTAATCGATAACAACTTTTCTTTATAGAATACTAATCGATATCAACTTTTCTTTATAGAAAACTAATCGATAACAACTTTTCTTTATAGAAAACTAATCGATAATAACTTTTCTATATAGGACATTTATCGATAATAACTTTTCTTTGTAGAATACTAACCGATAACTACTTTTCTTTGTAGGAAACTAATCGATAGCAGCTTTTCTATATAAAAAACTAATCGATAACAACTTTCCTATTAAGCTATCGATAACAAATTTTCTACATAGAAAACTTATCGACAATTGTGCTCTGCAGGAAAGTTGTTATCGGCAACTTTTCTCCATAGAAAAGTTGCTATCGACAAATTTTCTCAGAAGCAGAGTTGTTATCGATAATTTTTCTCAGTAGAACATATGTTATCGATAACTTTTTTCTGTGAAAAATCTGTTATCGGCTAATTATTTTTTTTACAAGAAAGTTGTTATCGTTGTTGTTTCTTTATAGAAACGCTGCTGTCTACAACTTTTCTCTATGAAAAATGTGTTATCGGCTATTTTTCAAACAAAAGCTTTTATTATCGATAACCTTTATCCGTACAAGTGCTGGTTTTGACAACTTTTTTTCTTTAAACAGGTTGTTATCGGCAATTTCTCTCCACAGAAAATGTATTGTAGCTAATGTTACTCCACAGGAACGTTGTTATCGGTAACTTTTCTCCATAGTAATGTTGTTGCCGAAAAATTTTCACCATACCAAAATTATTATCGGTAACTTTTTTTCGTAGAGTAGTAGTTATCGTTAATTCTCCTCTTCCGGAATGTTGTTATCGACAACTTTTCTCTATGGGAAAGTTGTTATCAATACCATTCCTCTTTGGAAACATTGTTATCGGTAACTTTTCTCTCTGGAAAAGTTGTTATCGATAACTTTTCTCTTTGGAAAATTTGTTATCGGCAATTTTTATCCATGGAAAAGTAGTTATCGATAACTTTTCTGGGTAGAAACTTTGTTATCGGCAACTTTTCTCTATGAAAAAGTTGTTATTGATAACTTTTCTTATTGGAAACATTGTTATCGACAAATTTCCTTTTTGAAAAAGTTGTTATCGACAACTTTTCTCTTAGAAAAATTTTTTATCGGTGACTCTTTTCTATTAATAAGTGGTTACAGAACACTTTTCTGGGTAGAACCTTTGTTATCGATAAATTATAGAAATATTGATCGTATTTCTTTGCAGAAATTATGTTATCGATAACGTTTCTTAATGGAAAAATTGCTATCCATAGATTTTCTTCACAAAGGAAGTTGTTATCGATAAATATTCCTTATGGAAAAGCTGTTATCGGTCACTTATCACTACGGAAAATTATTTATCGATATCGTTTCCTGCAGAATCATTTATTTTCATTTATTTTGTCTTTATTCAGTTGCAGGGTATTTTGTAGCCGTTTTCTTCGAACTATCACTTGTTTCGTTTTTAATTAAATCCCAAGATGGCTTAGACAAATACATGACATCAAAACATCGAGTCGCTGTCACGTCTCCTTTAATTGCCAAAATTGCAGTGTTGTTCTATTCACGTTGATCATTGTTATTTTTATTAATTAATTATTTTTTATCATTTATTTATAAATTTTATTTTCGTATTGATGCACAATTCTAGGCTTTCAAAAGAAATTTATTTTTTTCACTCTCTCTCCTCTCCTCTCCTTCTCGTCATTCGAACATTTTGTGTGAAACATGCCGGACACATTTTTCTACACCCCTCCTCCACTGAATTGATTCAATTAATAATAATCACATAATTTTGTTTTATTAACCATATTTTTTTTATTTTCAATTTTTTACGCATTCTCGCCCATCTCACTGCGGGACATGGGGGATGAGGGAAGTCAATGGCTATGGAATGTACAACATGTGGATGCGAGTTGACATGGCCCTCTTTGCGGCAACATAAATATGATTTTATTAAATCCCAGTCGTTGTTGTTTCTGCTGCTGTTATTGTGGTTCCATGCATTCAACCTCCCCCACCCCCACAAGGGGAAAGATAATTTTTCATAATTCATTCTCTTTGATGTTCGACCACAAAACATGCAGAGGCGCAAATAAAAAAAAACAAGAGATCAATCCACAATTTCCATAAAACTTGGAGGCCCTCACTCCCGCTCTTCTCGCAAAACACAAACAACAACAAAAACAAATCACGAAAATTTATCCATAAATTTTATTCTGGTGACCCATTGACAGGTAATTAAGTCAACATTCGCAATCTCAAGTTCGATGCGATTCGCCCTTCGCCAACGTACCGTAACAGTTCGCCGCACGTCTCCGATAGATATCTTATCGCTATCGCGCTTGTATCGCAACTGATCGTCTCAAGTAAGTTGGGCTTACTTGTTATACTTGACTGACTGGCGAGAGTAGCTCAAACCAAAACAAAGTTGAAGCGTTCAACGTCACATTACCGTCCATCCAATATTGGATTACTGTTGTTGTTGTTGTTATGGTTGCTATTAATGCTTGGAGGGTTGGACTTGATTTCAGTGTGTGTCACATTATGTTGTTGTTGTTGTTGTTTTTGTCTTTTTTTCTGTTTGTCTAGCTGTTTTAGGGGTTTGAGATACTCTGTTTGTTATTTGAGCTTTAGTGTCTCTCTCTTTCTCTCACTTTCAGATAAAACTGTGCTCAGTTGGGAAAGAGAGAAACAAATTTCCATAAAAAAACTTCATTAATACTAAGTTTTCTTTAGAGAAAAATTATCGATAACTACACTTCCATAGAGACAAGTTATCGATAACAACTATTCTACATGGAAAAGTTATCAATAACAACTTTTCTATATCGAAAAATTATCGATAATCACTTTTCCGTATAGGTTAGTTGTCCATAACCAATTTTCCATACAGAAAAGTTATCGATAATCACCTTCAATACAGAACAGTTATCGATAAAAAATTTTGTATTCAAAAAAGTTATCGATGGCCACTTTTTGGTATAGAAAAGTTATCGATAACAAATTTTCCGTATAGAATATTTATCGATTGCATCTTTTTAGTATAGAAAAGTTATCAATAGCAACTTTTTTTATATAGAAAGGTTAACGATAACAACTTTTCTATATAGAAAAGTTATCGATAACAACTTTTCTATATAGAAAAGTTATCGATAACAACTTTTCTATGTAGAAAAGTTATCGATAACAACTTTTCTGTATAGAAAAGTTATCGATAACAACTTTTCTGTATAGAAAAGTTATCGATAACAACTTTTCTATATAGAAATGTTATCGATAACAACTTTTCTATATAGAAAAGTTATCGATAACACATTTTCAATATAGAAAAGTTATCGACAACAAATTTTCAATATAGAAAAGTTATCGACAACAAATTTTCAATACAGAAATGTTATCGATAACAACTTTTCTATATAGAAAAGTTATCGATAACACATTTTCAATATAGAAAAGTTATCGACAACAACTTTTCTATATAGAAAAGTTATCGATAACAACATTTCTATACAGAAAAGTTATAGATAACCACATTTCTATACAGTAAAGTTATCGATAAAAACTTTTCTATATAGAGAAGCTATCGATAAAAAGTTTTCTATATAGAAAAGTTATCGATAACAACTTTTGTATATAAAAAAGTTATCGATAACAACTTTTCTATATAGAAACGTTTTCGATAACAACTTTTCTATATAGAAAAGTTATCTATAACAAGTTTTTAATATAAAAAATTCATCGATAACCAATAGAAAAGTTATCGATAACAACTTTTCAATCTAGAAAAGTTATCGATAACATTTTTTCTATATAGAAAAGTTATCGATAACAACTTTTCTATAAAGGAAAGGCATCGATAACAACTTTTCTATATAGAAAAGTTATCGATAACAACTTTTCCATATAGAAAAGATATCGATAACAACTTTTCCATATAGAAAAGATATCGATAACAACTTTTGTATATAGGAAAGATATCGATAACAACTTTTCTGTATAGAAAAGTTATCGATAACAACTTTTCCATATAAAAAACTTATCGATAACAACTTTTCTATATAAAAAGTTATCGATAACAACTTTTCTATTAAGAATAGTTATCGATTACTAATTTTCTATAGAGAAAAATTATCGATACCAACTTTTCCGTATATGAATGTTATCGATAACAACTTTTCTATACATGAAATCTACCGATAACAAATTTTCTCTAGAGAAGGTTGTAGATAACATTTTTCTCTTGCGAACCTCTCCATTTTGTCATGGCTAAACCTTAAGCTTCTTACACTTCTTCCCATCTCCCTTTATTCTCCACTCCCTTAAATACCCATATCTTTAACAACGTTTCCTATTGGCTTCCTTAAACTAATTTTCAAATTTGATTGCCATTTGAACGGAAATTAAAAGTGTTCCGCCGTGAATGACATTTGTCTTTACCTAACCCCAACCAGATGAAAAAAAACGAAAGTGAGAGGGGAAAGGAGGAACTGCCAACAGGTATTTCCACCCATACATTGAAAAAAAAGGAAAATCTATTGAATCGTTTCTGACATTTAAGTCAACACCACTTGACTTTCCTCCCTCCCCCGCCCCAAGGGTAAGGAAGCCAACATCATCCTGCCCAGCTGTAAATGATAAGCTGGAGTGGGGAAAGGAAAAAAAAACAAACACGAGAAGATACCAAGTGGCGGAAATCGAGCTACTTAAATGCTCAGTATCTTTAGACAACGTCCTGTGTTTTATTTGTTCACTTCGATGTGAAACATTTCATCTTCCCCCAATGAAAGTTTGGCTGTCGAACGGAAACGGAAATCACTTAAGTCGGGGGCGGTTCTCTTCAATATTTTGGGGGGCGCAATATGTTACGCGTTATCTATTACTTTTTATGTAGAAAAACTGATATCGATAACTTGTCTCCAAACGGAAAGTTGTCATCGATAATATTTTATATGGAAATTTTATTATCGATTTTCTTTTCTGCATGTAGTGGTCACTATCGATATCTTTTCCTCCTAAAAATCGTATTATCGATATTATATCCCTCTGGAGAAGTTCTTACCGTCAACTTTTCTCTATGGAAATATTTTAATGGAATGTTTTCCTACAGAGAAAAATTGTTATCTTTAACTTTTTTTTCCCGTAAAAATGTTATCGATATTATTTTTCTCTGGAGAAATTGTTATCGACAGCTCTTCTCTATAGAAATTTTGTTGCAGACAACTTCCCTTTAAGGAAATATTGACATCAAAGAGGTGGTTATAGATAAATTTTCTCTCCCTGTCGATAACTTTTTTTCTCGGGAAAATTGTTATCGATATATTTTCCCTCCGCAGAAGTTGTTATCGGCAATTGTTCTCTACAGAAATGTTGTTTTCGACAACTTAAAGGAATAGAAATTTTGCTATCGACAACTCCTCTTTTTAGAAATATTGATATCGAAAAAGTTTAATTTTCTTTACCGATAACTTTTCTCTCTGGAAATGTTGTTATCGGTTAGTATACTCACTGTGTAAACTGTTATCGACATTATTATCGGTAGCGTTCTTTACATAAACAATTATTATAGATTATGTCTCTATACATAAAATATATCGATAGCTTTTTTATCTAAATTGTTATCGATAACTTTTGTACCAGAAAAAAATTTTACCAATAATTTTTCATTATGAAAAAAATTTTATCGATAACCTTTCTCCTCGGAATTGTTGTTATCGAAAAGTTTTTTCCTCGGAATTGTTGTTATCGATAAGTGTTTTCCTCGGAATTGTTGTTATCGATAAGTTTTCTCTCGGGAATTAACGTTATCGATACATTTTCTTTTTTAACTATTGTTATCGAAAGGGTTTTTCCAAATAAATCCTGTTCTTTGCTCCAGTGAGAAGTTGTTATCGATAACATTTCTCTCTGTAAATGTTGTTGTCGGTGATTTTTCTCGCTGTGTAAACTGTTATCGACATTATTATCGGTGACGTTTCTATACCAAAACATTTTTATAGATTATATTTCTCTTGTTGTTATCGATAACTTTTTTCTCTGGAAACGTTGTTATCGATTATTTTTGTCTGTGTATAAGTTGTTATCATTGTCAAAACTTTTCTACCAGAAAACAATTTCATCGATAAATTTTCTCCCCGGAAATCTTGTTATCGATAACTTTTCTCCTATGAAATGACGTTATCGATTAATTTTCTTTTTTTTAGCTATTGCTATCGAAAGGTTTTCTCTAAAGAAAATCTGTTATCGATAACTTTTCTCGCTGAACAAATTGTTATCGATTATTTTGTTCCCGTGAGAAGTTGTTATCGACAACATTTCTCTTTGGAAATGATGTTATCGATAATTTTTCTCGCTTTATAAACTATAGTCGACAGTTTTTCTTTAAAGAAACGAATGTTATCGAAATTTTTCCTCTATCAAAATGTTGTTATCGGCAACTTTTCTTTGTCAAATTCATTCCCCTTGGTTAGTCATACCCTTGTTTTGTTTTGAAGTTCCCCTGTAAAGAAAAACAAGCCAAGGAAATGGCAAATCGTGTTTCGTTGTTTTTATCTCTCGCTCTTTCCCAAATTCTTTAATTTGATTTTAGTCATTTACAAATTACAAGGTTTTTGTTATTGTTACAACAACAACAAAAAAGCAAACTTTTACATTTTGTAATTAAATTTATTTGCCCCGGCATCCTTCCCCCCAAACGTATTTTTTCCGCTTTTCTTTGAACTCGCGATAACTTAGTTTATTAACTCTTTATTGTTTTTTTTTTCTTTTTTGTGCTGAAAGTTACATTGGATCAAAAGTGAATGCTATTTTTTATTGGATATATTAAGTATACAAATTTCTTTTGTTCAGAGACTCCCAATGAAATTTGACGGCGAATGATTCTCCCTTTGACACTTTCCCCAAAAAATGAATAATAAAAGGAGATTTTGACTTGGATTGGAGATATGTTAAATTAACAGTAAAAAAATTAGACACATAATTTTCACGTAAAGTACATAAACTTCGAATGTGATTTTTATGAAAACTATTGTACCTAGCTCTATGGTTATTTCTGAGATCTATAGTGAAATTTTGTGTAGAATATTTCTTCTTTTGACAATTTTCATCTAGAAGAAAATTTTATGTTACTTTCAGGCCTAAACTTGAAAAAAGTCAGAGGAAAAATTTGATGAAAAAAAATTAGAGAATATTTTTGGTTATTTTTAAGGAGTTTTGATGCGAATATTTTTTCGATAAAAATGAAAATAGACATTTCTTTTCTTTGGTGACTTATAGTGAAATTTGATGGAGAATAATTCTTCCTTTGACACTGTTTTTAAAAAATGAAGTATAAAGGGAGATTTCGACTCGGATTGGATATGTGTTAAACTAACAGTA